CTCTGTCTAGAACTCTTTATCTGCCAACAGGAGCACTGAGATTCCCAAAGTGTACTACCTTGTCCAGCTTATATGCATTCTGAGAATTCTAGCTCAGGTCCTTGCATGCCTTTACCTACTGAGCAATCTTCCCAGTCCTGAAACAGCATTTTGAAATAATTATACCTATTACTTTCTTCAGTACACATTTATTAAGCAAATACAAAGTCCTCAATGGCACTGTGTCAAGAGAAGAAAATTAAGCAGTGGAATTACTAAGCAGTAACCCTGAATTCAAAAAGCCCATAGTCTGATGCAGAATCTAGCTGGGGAAAAGCCCAGCTGTGTGTGGTAAGAAGTGCCTGGCAGTACAAGAGGAAAAAGACTACAGCCAGTAGAAGTTGGCTGGGGGGAGTCAAGGATGATCCAGATCCCAAAAGGAGCGCTCAGAATTGGCTTGGAAGGGTGAGTCGCACTCACCTATAGACAGAAAGCAAAATAGATTCCTAGAATGAAAAGAAACAGTGAATGAACTTGGAATTCATCCCAATAACCCAACACTTATGAATTCAAGGCCATCCTCAGCTACACGGTAAGTTCATGGTTAGCTTGGATTACATCCTATCTCAAACAAAACCCACAAAAACAAACTCACAAAAGCAGCAAGAGTAAGCAAGCTGTTGGGGGCAAAATAGTTGTAGGTCTTCCTGTGGCATTACTTACAGGTTTTAGTGGTAAAGGCAGGAGGAAAGTATCTGAGACTTGTTAAAGTCACAAAAAAGGTAGCATTTTCTAATGGATGGACCAAGATTCTGAGTTTCTGATTTTGCACGGTCAACTCATATTTTCAAAATCAAGAGTTCTCTACTTGTAAAGATTTCTTGGCTCAGGGATTCAAACCTGTGAACTCTCAGTCATCCAGTGCTACATAGCAGGAGCTGTCTCAAAAAATAAAACAAAGAGTCTGCTTACACAGAATGGAAACATTATATTTCAAAAGCCAATGCCAGCAGGGTTGTGAAGGTACAAACCTGTATTCCCAGCCCCTGGAAACAGAGGCAGGAGGATCACTGCAGGCTCAAGGGGAATGCTATAGATGTAGTAAGTCCCAGGCAAGCTGGAGCTACATAGTGAGACACTGTCTCAAACAAACAAACAAACAAACTCACAGACAAACCTTGGGCTTAGTGGTGCATACCTGTACATAATCTGATACTCAGGGGGCAAAGACTAGAAGATTTTCAATTCAAGTCTGCCTGGACTACAGAGTGAGTTCAAGGTTAGTCAGAGTGGCTTAGTAAGACCCTGTTCCAAAATTTACGAATTTTGAAAAATAGTAAAAACAAAACAAAATCAAAACCAGGCCTGGGGAAATGGCTTAATGATTAAGAGCATTTGCTGCAAGCCAGGCAGTGGTAGTTTATGTCTTTAATCCCAGCACTGAGGAGACTGAGGCAGGCAGAGTTCAAGACTAATCAGGTCTACAGAGTGAGTTCCACGACCGCCAGGGCTACAAAGAGAAACCCTGTCTCGAAAGAAAAAGAGTAAAGAAAAGGAACAAAGAAAATGGTATTTGCTGCTCTTCCAGAGGACTGGAGTTTCGATCTCAGCGTTTCATATTATGCACCTCACAACTTCCTGTAATCTAGGGGATCCCCTCTAATCTAGGGGATCCAATGCTCTCTTTTAGACTCCACAGGCACTACACTCATGTGCACAAATGCACACCCAAACAAACGGTACACAAATAAAAGTGTTTTGTTTTGTTTTTTGTCAGAAAGAAGACAGACTCGGGAGATCAGGGAAGCATTCAAAGCCAGCCTTGGCTGCACAGAGTTTGAGGCCAGCCTGAGCTTGTAACACCCTGTCTCAAAAACAAAACAAACAAACAAACAAAAAATCAGGGCCCTGTTGGGGCCAGTGGATAGCTCATCACAAACATGATGACCTGAGTTTAATTCCCCAGGGTCCACATAAATGTGAAAGGAGAGAACCAACTCCAAAGTTGTCCTCTGACCTCCATGGGAACACACATGTACACACACACACACACACACACACACACACACACAAATATACTGCACATACTCATTAAAAACAAACTTTTGGAAAGATAAAATTTTACATGGTTCAACATTGCCTGTATTGGGTTTAATGCACTCCAGCAATAATACTGAGCCTCCATCCACCATCTTGAGAAGTACAGCATTCCCATCCCCAAGTTTGTTTAAGCTTACTTTAATTTGACATGCTCCTCATACTTCACAGCAGTTTTCAAAGAAGAAAAATCATGACAGACTGCCACTGATTTTGAATCTGGCCAGTAGGCAGGCTCTAGGTGTAGTGAAGTACCCACCTAGCCTGCATGAGGCAGGGCTCACTAAGGCTTGCCATTACCCTTCACAAATACTAGCTGGGAACAAAGTGCTTTTCCTGAACCAGGCTGTTGATTGAATTCTCCATTTCTTTAGTCACTAAAAAGGGTGGGTGCTCTTGGGCAAAATACTTAAACTCTACTCAGTCTCCCCAAAAATAAACAGAGATAATACCACAGTGAGTTCCATATAGCTCATTGCTATGGTAGTCATATAAAGTAACTCCAGCACTCAGGAAGCTGAGGCAGTAGACCTCTCTAAGTTACCAGTACAATCTGGTCTACACAAAAAGTCCCACGCCAGCCAGGGGATTCACAGTGAAGCCCTGTCTCAGAGACAAGAACAAAAAAAGTAACCTCCAGAACATTTCAACAGTGGTGAAGATACCAGGGTTTTCTAATCCTCTGAAACTAGAGCCCATCTCTACTGTCTCAACAGATTTTTATTTATTTATTTTGAGTCAGGGTCTCATGCTTAGCCCAAGCTGGCCTGTAACTGGCCTGTAACTAGGTAGCACAGGCTGGTTGAGAATCCTGCTTCAGTCTCCAGCTGCTGGGAAAACAGGTGTGTGCTACCATCTTCAACAAGGCTTCTGACAGTACTAAAACTAATCTCTCTCCTCAGGACTAGATAGAGAGGTATTCACTTAATGTTGGTGTCCCCACCTGAAATCCTTTTGCTTAGGCTTGCAAATGGAAAAGGGCAGACCTACACTCCCACTAGGAGCCAAACCAACAGCACATTGGGCAAGGCTCGAAGAACCCCCAACAGCACAGGTACTGTCGGCTGCTCCTAAGGCTACACGTATGTGCAAGTACGAACAGGGCCCGGAAAAAGGACTATATACTGGCCAAGTTCCAGAAGGGGAAGGCTTAGCAAATTATTTCTTTCCCTCCACATTTCAGCATTAAAACTCCCAACCTTTTTTTTCCACTTCATGATTTCAGTGACAGGTATAGGAAGACAAAGTGAAATGTCTAAAATAGACCAACACATGCTGTGGAGCTTGCACGGCAGGTGGGGACCTCTCCAGAGACAGGTGTCTTGACAGATTAGGGTTACTGCAGTCAAATCTCCCTGGGGACACACGGAAGGAAATTCCCTTTCCAGAACATCAGCTTCCTTCCACCCAGCCTGACAATGGACACCAAAGGATAAAGGGCCATTTAAAAACAAACGGGGTTTGCTTGTCTGGGTGTGCCAGGCCCTGGGTGCAAACTCCAGCACCGAAAACAAAGAAAAAAGTGAAGATTTTTTACAGTGGAACACAGCGTTCTGCCACCTGCTACAAAAGCTCTTTAAGCCTCCCGGTCGCCCAGCCCTAAGTCACTTCCCCTCTCGGCACTCTAGAGCGTCTACCGGGGTGTGAGGGTGGGACGACACACAAAAGCAAAAGACCCGAGGTTTGGAAGCTAGTCTCCGGTCGCTCGTACTCCACCGCCCCAGGTCTCCCTCCCCGTCAGAGACCCCGAGGCTGCTGACCGGGAGTCCGAGCAGGCGCCGCTACTACCTTGGCTAATGGCAGCACTGAATGAAAGGAGCCGAGGCAGGCTAAGGATTTATGAATGTGCAGGGGAGGAGGGATATCATGTGACAATAAAGGAGAACGTCTTATTCACAAAAAAAAAAAAAAAAAAAAAAAAAAAAAGGGAGGGGGGGGGGTGGCGAGCACAGTCACATAACAGCGATAGCAGAGTCAGGACCACTCGGACCCCAGACCGAGTACTGAGTACTGGTCAGGGCAGAACGGCGGCCCCGCCCCCAGAGCCCCGCGAGGGAAATGCATCGAACCCAAGAGCAGAGACCCAACCCAACACGCAACTAAGTAAAGCCGGAGGCACCTTCCACTTCGCCCGGAGACGGTGACAGGCCCAGGTCTCCCCGAGGGGCGGCCTGGGAGCACCTCCGAAAAAGTACCTAGAGCTTTGTTCCCCTCGGGCCCGCGGGCCGGGTACACGCACGGGCACGCGCTCTCCCCCACATACACGCTAGGAGCGCGCTTCCCGCACGCTGTCTCCCGCCCTCGCTGCACACGCTTCGGATCCGCCCCCAGAGCTGCCCCGACACCGCGGGGCGCGTGTGCCAGCCCACACGCGCGTGCACACTCACACACACCCCGGGACTCCGAGGGCTGCTCCCGCGCTCCGGCTGCTGCGCGGACCTAGGCGCACCGACCCTGTGCCAAGCCGGGCCGGCCCTCCCCCAACTCCTTGGTGTTTTTATGAATGAAAATGTGGTATGCAAATGAGACCGATTCAAGAAAACGAAATGGCGGAGTCCGGCCCCAAAGGGCTCCAAAGAGGACTGTAGGGCAGGCAACAGTGCCGGGAGTCACAAAGTCACCATGCACGCAAACCCATCGACCCCGGGATGCCCCGCGTGGAGGGCGTCAGAGCTTCCGCTCGCGCAGTGCGGGGGACCGCCCCGAGGTCATTCGCGCGCCCTTGGCCCTGGCCGCGACCCGGACTCGCAGACCCTAGGTGGTTACTGCAGCCTCCCCGAGCCAGGCTGGAGAGCCTCGTACGCAGCCCCGATATCCAGCAGCACCCCAGCCAAGTTCCCCCAACGAGTCCCCGCCTGCGTCCTTGGCGGCAGCCCCCCACGCCGCCCCGCCGGACACCCACGTCCCATCCGCGGCGAACTTACTCGTCCGGGTGTGTTTCTTCGGTCATTTTCTTGTTCACCTAGACGCCTGTCCCGCAGCGGGCAGCCTGGCTCCCTTCATCTTCCTGTGCGCTCGCCCCCCTTCTTACATCTCCGACATCTCCTGATTTGGTGGTGGAGGGGGTAGCTAGAG